AATCGAAATTAGAGACTGATAAGATGGAGCAGTGACTCGTATTCCCTTACAAGAACTTTATAAATAAAGTTATCCTAACTTTTAAAGATTCCCTGAAGCTGTTCAAATACTTGTGTAGATACATCACGCTGATTTTGATGGAACGAATTACTCTTTGTAGTTATAGAAAAAGGTCAATCAACAGAGATATGACCTCACGTCTATTACAAAACAAAAACATCTCCTAATTGTTGTAATAGATTACCGTTTTATTTCTGTAAAATTATTATTATTTTTTTGTCTGGTTTTATGATGCAACGATAAATTTTGGTTCCATCAAAGTAAAGCCCTCAGTGGATTTCTATGTTCTTGAGTTAACATGTTTTATTATACACGTATTTCTTATCCAAAGTACACATTTGAACAGTTTCATTATAGAAAGAAATATAGTTTGTTAGCGTGTCGTAGTGAAAGATAACTTAAAATGTAGGAAATGCTGTTTCCTATATGTTTGTTGTGAATTAATGATTTTAAGTACTTCATATTCGTTGATTTCTGTCTCTTTTTAGTTTTTGCCGCAATTAAGAAAAACATGAACCGTGATTACAAGAATCCAACCGAACCGGTATATGATATTCAAGAGCGCATATAGCTACAGTTTGTTGTGTTATCAAACTAATGCTAAACATTATTAACAGTTGTTGTATTATAAAACTAAAGCTAAGCATTATTAGCAGTTGTTGTATTATCAAACTAAAGCTAAGCATTATTAGCAGTAGTTGTATTATCAAACTAAAGCTAAGCCTTATTAGCAGTTGTTGTATCATAAAACTAAAGCTAAGCATTACTAGCACAAGTCGCTGCATTCTGTGTTAAAATTTACATAGGATTGGTTCAGTAATAACTGCTACATATTTAAAAAAAAATTAATAGATACATAGGCTTACTGTGACGAGTGAAAGAAATTAGAAACACCATATATATATATATATAACAAAACACGTTTACTGACGGGTTTAGTAAACAAAAGCGTAAGGATGGATCAATTAAAAACATCGGTTTATTTATCAATATGAAATAATTATAATAATATGTTTTTGTTTTCTTTTGTTATTAAACGCAAAGTTACACAAGGAGATATCTGT